GACCTTGTCCTACTATACAGAAAATCGATTGCGTAACACAGATGTATGATAAAATCGGGATCTGACTGTACACATCAACACGCGACAAAAATTTATCAATGTCCAAGCCTGTGAATTCTCTCACTTTTGTTGAAAGTTTAAACCTTCGTCATACAGGTACAGCCTCGGCTCGAACTTTTCAATAATCACAAGCACCTTTAATATCTTCGCCCTTCACTTCTAGCATATTGGAATCGCGACCCAAACTCGGGGAGAAGTTTGATCGATTGGGACATATACTTTATCGAAACTAATCCTGGATGCACAAAAGAGGAAGCGCATCGATCCTTAAGTCTTGAACTTGGTATCCTCCTTAAAAATATACCAAGAAGGAGTTATCTTTTTGCCAAGGCGACCGCCTTGAAAAAATGCTTTAGAAGTCAGCCTTTCTTTTTATTATAGGTGCACATACCATTGCTCCGCAGTCGTGTTCTGAGCGATTCGTTCGCACAAGGCAACTCGTGTTGTTGCCTGAAGTGAGAAGTATACTATGGTCTAGACTCTTTAGGTCCCACCATAGTATGCGTCGGTAGCACCATTTACCGTTTGCCCATACCTTGCAGTCGTGTTCTGAGCGATTCATCGCACAAGGCAACTCGTGTTGTTGCCCGAAATAGGGATGCATGTTATAATTTAGGCATTTTTGCTCCATTATAACATGTGTGGGTAATCAATTAAATTATTTGTGACGATGTTTTCTAATAATATATTTCACTGTTTATCCTAGAATAGTAACAATGATCCTGTAAATGCTTTATTATGGAGAAATAATGGAAGGCTATCAACACTAGCCGTCACGGATCGAATAAATAAAGTATATTTGTCTTTAACTTATTATATTCATGATATTATATCAGCATTTATAACATCATTTTAATCTGTCATGTTAGCGAGAAATTCGAAGCGTTGTTATACAAGAAGAAATGGGGCGATATAAATCTGAACAGGAATATATAAGTCATAGGTTACAGGGCTGAACTAGTGAAGATCTCGAAATCATTAGCAATGAGCCTAATATAACACCCATTCAGGAAGAACCATCACCAGGGATTGATCATTATGAATCGATAAACAAAAATGATATGCAAAACGGTAAGAAGCACCATTTTTTTTCTTACGTTCAGATATTATTATCTAAACTGCTCTTGGAATTATTATTTGTTGTAAAGATGGATTTCAAACCCCTCTTCATCAAATTGTCAGTAACACATACAACCCGGTAATATCAATTGACGAAAATATACTAAGAATGTCTGCTATGAGTTTAGCCAAGCTAGATGAATCCAAGGTATTTGTTTGAAGATGATAATTTGAGGTATATAATAAATATTCAGTAGTTTGCATTAAACAATACTTCGGAGAATTTATCCCACATTTTACAAAATATAAAGAATCCCAGCAAAATGATCCATTTTCGTAAGTATTTGGATTGCTTAGGATGTATTTATAACCTATAACTAATGATTCTCAACATATAGTTGCACGATTGATGATGTAATGGATATTCGAGGGGAAAGCGGGTTTTCTGAATTTTTGTCAGTTTATGATTACATAAAATTATTATCAAAAAAACCAAAGAGGAATGTTGAATTGCCAGAAGGTTGGCGTGATGTTATTGAAGAGTATTTTAAGGTAATTATATTATTGTTTGTATTCGTCATTTGCAGTAATTATTGATTCTATTATTATATAGGAAACGACCGAAAGTGGGTCGATAAAAAGTATATCTGACTGGATCCGTATTACAGAAGAGTTGGGAGTTGTAAAAGAGGAGGATAAAGAGCTAATAAAAATAAAAAATATTTGAATCGGGTTATGCTTCCATTGTAAGTGCTCCAAGGTT